GATTGGAAGCCTACTAACATCTTGTCTTGTGTCTATCTTCTGTAAGCAGAGAATACTGTCACCAATCAGAGAATCTAGGCACTGAAGCATAGAAAGGAAGGATGTCGTTGTGTGAGGATATAATGCATGACAACACATCTTTACGGGCATCCGTCACCCACTTCTCACCACTGTAACCTCAACGAAAGGTGTAATTGTTGACCTTTCTTGAATATTTCATAGATTGCTGAGCAAGAAGCTACGCAAGTTTGTGTTAAAGCTTCTTTCCCTGCTCCACAAGCAGATACAGCGTTTGCTTCAGTGAGACTTCTGTATTGGCATGTTGACCACAATTTGGAAATAGATTCTACATCCTGAGTCACAGGCTTAGACTGCGTAGTTCAATTTAAACAAGTACACATCTCATCAAAAATTATTTAGCTAAGTAAATCAATTTTGCTGTCAAATATTACGCAAAGCAGGATATCTGCAAAATGTCAGTCACGCATTTTATGTTTATGCAGACCAGCACAAACAGTTTTTCCTTATTATTCCGTTGGTACAGTTTAAAACAGATTTTACTCCTGTATCTTCTGGAGTTATTTAGAAAAGAACAAAATCACCTTGAAAAAATGACTTTGCAGGCTAATATAAATTACCATATAACAAAAGTTAAGAAAAACTCCTAATACTGAAAAGCCAAATTATACACTATGAAATAACTGCAATGGATACTGCATATTGCAGCTAGTGAGATTTTTCTCTTTTCGGCTACTGAAAAACATACTGTTATATTTTGTACAGCAAAAGTGTTGGTAGAATGCTGACAAGTCCAAATAGTAAATGAATATAGGAAATTTAAGTAAATTTATTTTATATATTTATATATATGTGTGTGTGTATATATATTTAGAATTCACTGAAAGAATATTTGCTTGAAATGATTTTAATCAAATTTAAAATAGGAATGAGGATTTATACTGAAATCGTAGCTACATTTGTAGTTGCTTTGTTTCAAATAAAATGTTTCAAATATTGTATATAAACTGCATGCCCTAGGGAGCACAGTCTGCCTCTAGAAGCTATGTGCCAAAAAGGAGACAAAAAAGAAATCTGGATGATGTGGCAAAAAGCAATCCTGGCTCCATCTGCTGTCTGCTTTTTTTTTCTCGTTTGAGCACCTTCTCTTTTAAGATGTTTGTGGTAGGTAGGCCCTGTATTTAGGAGAACACAGGCTGATACTTTAGGATACTTTCTTCAGGTTCTGCCTGCTATGGGGGTAGCTTTGCTTTGGGGGAAAAAAATCTTTGTTTTGCATTTTCTACTGACTATTGAAAGTTTTGGTCAGTATTATTAATTATCTACACTGTGCAGATTAAGTAGGAATTTTCTGTCATCCTAACATCACGTTTGTAATTTTTCCCTCTTCTTCATCTCTATTAATAGATGCTGTGAGGAAGCCCAGACACAGTTCTAGAATTGTTTTTTCTTACACTGGGCTGGGAAACTGAAGTTTGACAGCTTATTATTCCTCTGCTTAATAGGCCTGATCTTTATAATCACCTTTGAGACTGCTCTAATTCACGTTAAAAACTCAATCATAACGGTTTTGTTCCATCTTAACTGTGTACAGCTGTGTATAGCTTTGTTCTTCTTCCAAACTGTTTTTGTCCTTTGTTTGAAGCCATAACCAATATAAGTATTTTACTTCAAAATTGTCATTTATGTGGAGGATCAATGAACTTCAACAGTATTTTTTTTTCTTCTACAAATTGAATAATTTTGCCTGCACCAGAACTTCCAGGTACAAATATTCTGATTTGAAAAAAAGGCTGCAAAATGGGTATAGCAGTTCTGAGTCAATCCCATAGTTTAGAAATATTTACTCAGCTGTGATCCTGGAGAGATGTATATGTCTGTGCTTTTAAAACATAGTTCTACAAAACAGGACCCAGATAAATTATAAGTCTGACTACATAGATTTCAGAAATACTAAAAACAGACACGTGAAATGGTGGTAAACACGCAGGCAAGAATGAAAATAAGGCTTTAAAAATATTGATCTTTACATTCCTAGATCTAAGAAGCAATGCTGTAAGTTCCAGTCAGATTTAAATATCAGAAATGGAGAGATTTAAAAAATAAATAAATAAAAAAATTAATAAAATCTTTTCTAAAATATAAATATTTTTCCGGTAGAGAAGAACATTTATTCACAAGAGTAAAGAAGTATTGCATATAATAGAAAATGAGTAATGAAGTTAGGTCAAACATCAGATACACTGGAAAATAGATTTTATAATTCCTTTTGATTTGGTGACATGAGAGGTAAAAGCATTTTTACAGTATTTGTAGTCTAGTATCAGCTCAGGTGTCAAATATCAAATTCTGATTATGATGATAATCAAATTCTGAGTAATTCTCAGTAATTCTACCACTTGAGAAGATGAGAAGGTAAAACAAAACAAAAACCAACCAACAAAACTACACAAAAAAGAAAACCACACACTGCAAAAAAAAATACAGAGTTGTGGAGATCTTTAAGAAATGTCTGCATTAACATAAAAAGTGAATCAGGATTCTACAGCTTACTGAAGTAGCACGTGTTTCTAGATTTTTGCAGTCTAAATACTAGTAATTTGAATTAAGACATCCCTTATCAGCAATAAGTAAAACATGAGTAACATTTCTCTTAAGGAAGTCTTTATTTAACAAAAAAAGATGCATGTAGTTGTTCCCAAGCTACTTGTGAACATCAGTTTAAGTGCTTCCAGCTGAACAAAAGAAAACAGTTGTAGTTATAAGACTGTAGGTGTCATCAACTTCCCAAATTGCAGACCTGATGAGTAAAAGGCAGTTCTTGTAGAAGTTGTTCTGTAGGGCCTACTGAGGGGTTCAGCTAATGCAATTCATGAACAGGATAATCATGAAGATAAAATATCTGAAAAAAGTTGCATTCTGCTCACTCTAGAAAACTTTTCAATCCCAAGCATACATTTAAAAAGAAATTATTTATTATCCAAGTTTAGAATCATAGAATTCTATGGGATAGAGTTAAGGGTTGGAAAAGAACTCCAAGATCATCCAGTCCAACCGTCCACCACAACCAATATTTTCCCACTCAACCACGTCTCCTAATACAATATCAAACATTTTTTTAGTATTTCCAGGAATGGTGATTCAACCACCTTCCTGGGCAGCCCATTCCAGCATCTGACTGCTCTTTCAGAGAAGGAATTTTTCCTAATATCCAACGTGAATCTTCCCTGGAGCAACTTGAGGCCATTCCCTCTGGTCCTGTTGCTACTTTTTGGGAGAAGAGGCCCCCACCTTGCCATCACCTGCTTTCAGGGAGTCGTAGAGAGTGATGAGATCTCCCCAAGCCTCTTCTTCTCCACACTAACAATCCCAGCTCCCTCAGCTGTTTCCCATTAGACTTGTACTCCAGACCCCTCACCAGCTTTGTTGCCCTTCTCTGGATATGCTCCAGGGCCTCAATGTCTTTATTGTAGTGAGAGGCCCAAACCTGAACATTGTACTTGAGATATTATTAGGTAAACAATCACGCTCATTACAGTCACATTATTATTATTATTATTTGTATTTTCTAGTCTAGCCTTGTTATTTTCAGTCTTTTTTTGTGTGTGTGTGTTGGACTTTTCCATCATGAGATTGTTTCTGTTAAGAATCAGGCAAGTCATACTGGTCATAACTTCCAGGTTTAGATAATTTAAAATATTATTTGAGGAACTCTTAAACCTAAGGATGCATTGCATCTCTGAAAAATCAGAATTACAAGCATAGTATTCCTAATAAAGGTTAAGAAAGGATGAGTGATTCAGCTGTTTATTTTGAGAACATCTCTGGTGTTTTTGTTTTTTAAATTGATATGAAGGATTTTTTCCTTCGTAGACTCAATTCAGTTTATTGATTTATTGGATGTCTTCCTCTGGATAAGTTCCATTTCTGTCCTCTGTAGCTGTTCTGGTCAGGCTGAAACTGTTTGTTTGTTGCATTGTAAAATCATATTGCATGTGTTTGTTTTTGTTTGTTTTTTTAATTTAGAGTTACAGCTGCCTTCCATTTTGGGGTTATCTTTGAATATATAGTTGGTGCATACTTTATAATCTACATTGTTACAACAAAAACATAAAATATCCAAGTAAAGAGCAAATGTAGAAATTAACATGAATGAAATTCACTTCTGTATTTAGAACAACTTATCTTTTACAGTACTTCTGTGGAAATGTATTGCAAATAATACAGCATAAAGTAAAATCATAGAATCATAGAACTATAGAATGGTTTGGGTTGGCAGGGACCTTTCAGGTCATCTAGTTCCAACCCCGTGCAGACCAGGTCGCTCAAAGCCCCATCCAGCCTGGCCTTGAATGCTTCCAGGAAGGGGGCATCCACAGCCTCTCTGGGCAACCTGTTCCAGTGTCTCACCACCCTCACAGTAAAGAATTTCTTCCTAATATCTAGTCTAAATCTACACTCTTCCAGTTAAGTCATTTCCCCTCATCCTGTTGCTACGTGCCCTTATAAAAAGTCCCTCTCCAGCTTTTCTGTAGGCCCCCTTCAGGTACTGGAAGGCTGCTGATGAGGTCTTCTGGACCGTTCTCTTCTTCATACTGAGGAGCCCCAGCTCTTTCAGCCTGTGCTCGCAGGGAAGGTGCTCCAGCTCTTTGATCATCTTTGTGGCCTTCTTCTAGCCAGCAGCTTCATGTCCTTGTGTTGGGACCTTCAGAATAGGTTCTCCAGATGGGTCTCTCGCAAGAGCAGAGTAGAGGGGCAGAATCACTTCCCTCATTCTGCTGGTCATGCTTCTCTTTATTCAACCCAGAATACAGTTGGCCTTCTGAGCTGCAGATGCACATAATTGGCTCGTGTTGAGTCTTTATCAACTGACAGTGTTGATTACAAAAACATAAATTATTTTCCTTTACCCATAACATAGAACACACGTGCTGTTGTTTGCAGTTACGTTTCACTGACTTTGTTATTTTGTTCTGTTTCAGACGGTTCGTCATGGTTTTCCTTATCTACCCACTGCCTTAGCTTTTGACCCAGTTCAGAAAATTCTGGCAATTGGGACAAGAACAGGAGCCATACGAATGTATCCTTTCTTATTCAGAATGCACGCAATTTCTCTGTATTTGCACTCAGTGACATGAATCATCTTTACATCTAGAAGCACTCAGGTAAGGGTACAGTTTATAGTGTTATGTTATGTCTCATTTTGTTTTACTTTATTGACTGGAAAAGGATGTGCTGCTGAAGAATTACCTTTAGCTTCTTCAGTTGTCTGAAGGAAAAATTTTGAATGAGTTTTTGCTGTACGTGTGGCGTATATTGGTATATAAAGCAGAATTAATTTTTTGTTCTGCTGTGAGTAAGGAGATTTTTCAGTATGTAAAGTTAGACTGCAATGTGGCAATGAGCAAAGTGGGAATTTTGAACTGGCAATAAATAAGTTAACTGTTGCAATGCAGCCAGCTGGAGAAATCTTCACTGGAAATAAGCGTGTTTGAAATATTGTTTAGACCTTCCTAACTGAATGATGGGAAAAAGATGATTTTAGGGCATAATTCTTCTCTTCTTGGAGGAGATGTTTCAGGGAGATAAGAGAAATAGCTACTTTTAGATTGTTTAACCTTCATTAATTATAGAGGTGTCAGAACCATTATGTTAGTGTCAGAACCTTACGTATGTTTTTATACTGCAGGAATTTTGAAGTTAGTTGTCTAAACAGAACAGATTGAACATAAATGAAATGAAAATTTGGACAACTTTTGTTTTAGAAAAATATGAGGAGAGTATTTAAATATGTCTTTCAAAATGTTTATCTTAATATATATATTTTTAAAATTTGTCTTGATTCCAATGTATTCCAGTGTGGTGAAACTGCATATAATTTAAGAAAAATCAAGAAAAAAAATAAAGGAAAGAATATTACAGGAAGCTTTAGGAGTTGCAGGATACAGAAGTAGTAAGCCAATACTTTTTACAGCCTCTTGCAGCTAAACAAATTCTGGGGTCGAAAGTAAGGGACAACACTTTATAAAATAGCAGTTAAAGTAGCATACTGTTATGGTTTTACCCAGCAGGTAGCTAAGCAACACATGGCTGTTCACTCATACCAAATACTATGAAGAAAACCAACTGTCCAGCTGAAACCAGGACACTTGCAATCTAATGAAAAATTATCTCATGGAGAACCATCCTGGGCCTCTTGTAACATGACTAGACTAACACTTTAATTTCCTCCATTTTTGGGTACTCTTGTTCTGAACAGTTGTGTTTTCATAAACCTCATTTTCTTTACCCAAGACTCAACTAAACCAGTTATGTAAGAAACTTTGCTTTGATGATTCTACTCTTAATATTTTCCTGCATGAAGTAGGTTAAATATATTCCATTCAGAGTAATTGAATTTATGCGCTTCTGGGGAAGTTCAAGTCTAGTATCCAGTATCTCCTTTAATGTCTCTTCTCCAGTTTTGCTAGTAGAAGCCTACTTCATTTATGGAAAATTTTCTAGGAACTGAATCAAACATGGGTATCAAGATCATCAGACAATTTGATTTTTTTTTTTTTTTTTTTTTAAAGAGAGATGCCATCTTATAAATACCTCATGGCTTTGGCACACAGAGCCTGGTTTGCTTAATTGAGAATTGAGTCAATGAGAGCTATGCTTAGAAGACAGATGGTACCATTAAAAGGATTACTTTTTTTTTTTTTTTTTTTCATTTTTTTAACTGAAACTTCTCAACTTCACTCTCAAAGCTTTACAGAACATACTATGTAAAAAGCCCAGTTATGGACTAGGAAGTTTGCCTGTGTACATAGCAAAGAGGAGTGATGAGTGAAACAGCCTGGGACCATGAACCCTGCTTATTTAAGCCAGTCATGTTGTCGCCGTTTTTAACTGTTGCAGACAATAAGATTCAAGCCAAGATGTGTTTAGTATTAATTCTGAAAATACAATAATGTTTTTTTTTTAAAAGCAAACTAAAAGTAGTTCATATTTTAATGACTCTCAATCTTCCACAGTATCCTGTAAAAGCAGTTTTTAATAGAGCAGCATAATTTCATTTTGCAATGAACATATTACATAACAGAATGATGTTCTCATTCATTGTACTCCAGCAGTGAAGCTGGTGCTTCTAACCAGTATTGTGGATGGTGCAAAGGATGTTTGGCTACCGCTACAAAAATGCAACCATTTATTTGTTGGTATGTTAGTACCAAAAGTGCCCAGTTTGGATCAAATCCTTTTGTGCTAAGCAGCACAAAGGTATGGCAAGACAAAATTCATGTTTTGTATTCGTGTAATTATGTAGAACAAGTTTTCCTGTAACTGGTGCAAGTGACATAATGGTACGCTTGCTTCCCTGTCTTTCCATAAGGTTCACAAAGTGATGGCATATCTAGTGATTGTAAGCTTACAAGTTGAAAAAGCAAAGCAGTTTCCAAAGAAAAATGAAGCACATATACCAGCGTTGAAAATAGTCTTCACACCACACCTTTAGGTGATCATTTCAAACAATTGAGCAGCATGACTGAAATAGTCCGTTCTAAATTGGCCCGAAATAGACTATTATTCATAAATTTCCATTACAACACAGAGATAAATGAAAGCTCACTTTGGAATGAGTGTCAGTTTGCCTTCTAGATTTCTTTTCAAGCTGCTCTAGCAGCTGTAGCTTCTGTAGCAATGGGAATTGCCGTTGCTATGCTCTAGTGATGCTAGTGGTTTCTGTGGGATTCTCAAGAAACTTCAGACAACTGTAGCTTTTAGCTACATCAGTGTCTGATGGGTGCTGATCCTCACAAAACAGCTGTGCTTCATCCTCAGAATGAGTACACATTAAATCACTGATGAATGAGTGTCTTCCTGTTACTGACACTGAATTACAAAGCCTGCAAATAAAGGCAAAATATTCACCCTAGAAACAATTGCTCTGTCATATGGTCATCTTAATCCTTCATCCCTGTTCTCAGCACCCGTACTCAGATCATGTTTTGTTCCTGCTCTACCTGTACTATCCTTGCTTGAGGCAAACGTGTTCAGATGAAGAAGGGTTATGAAATTGAATTCCTTTTCTTGTTATCTTCATATGGTTTTTCTTTAGTCCTAGTCTGGAAAACCTTCTGACATTACACACAATAAAACAAAGTGTACTGTCTCTAATCTATCAGAGAAGGCATATCACTATACAGGGAGTGAGACAAATTAAGAAAATTGATCAGATTGAAGTCTTTTCCTCATTTCAGGGGAAAAGAAGGCTAAGGTTTTGTCACATCATGTCTCTGAATGAATAGATCAAAATCAGCGATAGAAGTGATTATTCCAATATCATATCTGAAGAGGTAGCATGTTGCTTTCCTGTTTCATTATGTGTATTCCTACGTTGCTATTTAATCAACTCACAAATGCTTGCTAAAATTCATTATGGGTACTTCATTTCATGGATTCACTGTGTCTTTTCACTTTGACTTCTTCCATCAAATCAATGATATGCCAGTATAGTCATCTACTGCAGGCATATAATTATCTACACATTATTGTATTGAGTCACTGATTATTTTGTGGCCAGCTGCAGTAACAAAACTCTACATTTAGACCATTCCATAGTTATTATCATCTTTGCTTATAAAGAAATGAAGGAAAATTTAAAATCCAGTGCAAGGATATCTACTGTGTCCAGAGTGGCCTCCAGACCATGAAAAGCTCGTCTATCATCACACTGACTTACACTGATAATACATCTTTGGACATATTTCTACTGTTTTCTATTGTTATGCATAATAGTTATTTTTAAGACTGACAGGCTTCATGTTGTTGCAGGTGGTGGTCATGGGGCATGCTAATCTTCCTTTTAACTATTCGTTACTTGAGAAACAAAAGCAAGTAATCCACAACACTTGCGAGGCCTTTCTGGTTATGGCAATATTGCATTGTCATCTGGTAGTATGATAGTCATTTTATTCCTAAGCAAACAAAATCATTCCCACTCACTAACACGTAGTTGTGCAGTTGTTGCTCTGCCCCGACCTTTTGCATATCTGCACAGTTCTGACACTTTCCTTGATCTGACTCTGGTGTCCAGCAGATCTTTCCAAAAGCAGTCAATTAGCATGGTGAAATACTGTTTCTGTTGCTGTGCTATTTTCCTGATAGGTTAGATTATGAAATGTATTAGTGGTGCTTAACTCTGACTTATCAGAGTGAAACTGTAAAGAAGCTGGAAGGAGTGTATGAGTGTATTTTTGGGTCTGAGAGGGGAGAAATAGAGGATAATCTTTTTTCTTTTTTTCCTCTTGTGTTTAAAAAATCTGTGTGTGAAGCTATTTGCAAATCAAACAAAATATCTACAGGATCTGAGCAAGAGCAATTCTGCTTTTGGATAGCACTGGAAATAATTTTTTGAGCCTATTTTGTGTGCTTTTTCACATGCTTTGAAAGCAAGGGTTATTTTGGAATGTCAAATATGATATAGCAATACTTATTTTAATAGGCATATCTTGTGGAAGATACAGCGCAACTTCAACGCTATCTCATTTGTCTCCATTAAACAGCCAAAAGTCATATATCTGATGCCAGAGTTTCCATCCCAAGTAAAGAGGAAGGTGAAATCTAAACCTAAGATAGCTCTTCTGAACACTGCATCTTCAGCAGCTTTTGTACGCAGACATCGTTACACGGAAGTACAACTAGGGCTGTTTGTGTGCTCTAGAGAAAAGGAAAGAGAACAAATGGCACTAATTAAGTCATCACCCATAGAATTCTGTGCAGGCATGGAATTTTACAGTTAAAGGAAGTATGGCAAAGAATGTTTGATGTCAAGTTGATCAAGATGGATACATTTAAAAGAAAATACAAGAATATAATGTAAAGTTTTGGTCTGCTGGAACAGTAGCATAACATCTAAATATAAAATGTGGCAGATTTACTTACACTACAATTGTTGTCTCTAAACAAGGTTTCAGTAGCTCTTTATCCTTAAAATAAGCTGGCTGTGTGCTTTGTTGTTTATGTGATTTATTGGGCAGATGGAATGGGGGAAGCACAGACAAAATCATAAGGCTAAAGTTCTGGTGTTTGATTTGGAAG